GATAGAACAATAGATAGAACGATAGATAGATAGAACGATAGATAGATAGATAGATAGATAGATAGATAGAGAGACAAAAACCTTAACCTGAACATGTTTTTCTGATATTCACCTGTCTCCTGCCATATACAAACTTTATCTTATACAGACTACATTTGATCCTTGAAAATGACCAGCAATCAATCAGCTTTTCTGTTGAGGGCACGGTGTGGTAAAGAGAAACAGCAAGAGTAAAACAGTGTCTTAAGAAACAGACCCTTGAGAGGCCGAGTAAACACTTCTCTTCATGGAGAGGCTGATGAGAGCCCCACATGGACACTGCATCTCTACAGCGATCCAGGCCTGAAGTGATTAAGACGTGTGTGATTAAAGCTTTGCTCTCACATGTTCATGACTCTTCACTAAGTGCTTCCCTCTTCAACTGTCCCCACTCCAATCCCAGAGGGTCACCGTCTGGATGTAACAGTCGTGACCCCCCCTCTCATTCCCACCAGTTGTTTATCGTCTTGGTTGAAGTATGTTCAAATAAACCACTTATGTGACAGGCTTTGAGAAGGTGACATTGTGTAAAGAGTGCCACTGGAAGGAGAAAGGAAATTGACAGGAAGCTTACTTCTCTTGCAGGAAGTCCCGCGGTAGCCAGGAGCACACACGCAGGTCCCATCTTCAGGAAAGCAGGAGCCTCCGTTCTGGCATGAGCAGGTCATGGAGCAGTTAGGCCCCCAGAAGCCTCGAGGGCAGATGCTGTCACAGTGGATGCCTGTTAAAACAAATGAGGGAAGTATCACTGCATGTTCTCAATGTGCTTCCATATTTACTATTATAGCAGAAAACAGAAGTGGGAATAGATGCAGGAAAGCGAAACCATCAAAAGCAAAATAAATCAGATGCTTGTGTGGTGGGGGATGCCTGAGCCTTAAGGGCACTGCTTTTATAGTAAGCTAGTATGATATTTTCTATTGGGACAGTAGCAGAGTACCAAGCAGCCTTCTCTGAAAGCACAAGTCCTGGTTTCAAAAGCGTGGGGTGTGTGTAGGTTCAGGCATCTCTTGGCCGCAGCACTGGGCTGCTCTGTGCTGTGCTCTGTATGTATTTTTGATCAGACTGGGCCTCCCTGCCAGTGCAGAGTGTTGATTAACAGGGCCAAGTCCCTCGAGTGGTTGAGCCTCCTCTCCCATTCTCTTTCAGCTGGTTTGTGTGTAGAGATCCACTAGGGACATGCTAAAGTACACACACTCACACATACACAAATATATAAAGAAGAGACCTACTATATTGTTTTAAAGTGTTGTAATGTACTGTAATGTCATTGGCTGGTCATGCTGAGGTTACAACAAAAACAGGAAAACAACATGGACACAAATTCTCATAAACAAGCTTACCACAGAACCAGCACAGCAGACAAAGAGCTAAATATTTACTATAAAACAGATAATAATAATAATAACAGAAATAATAAAAAAATACATATAAAATGTAATATAATGAAATAATAGAACACACACAATATATGTGTGTGTATATGTAGATAGATAGATAGGTAGATAGATAGATAGATAGACAGATAGTGTGAAGGTAATTTTTAAATGAAACATTTTAAATTAATCATAACTAACATTCGCTTAACAGTAGTCTTTTCCTTGCAGGCCTAATGTTTGCATGCTTTTGAGAACAAAATGTACCAACAATTTAGTTAGTGTGTTGCAATAGCAGATGCATATGGACAAGATGGCTAGACACCTGTCTGAATATAAAAATAACCATAACAACCCATGACTTGAGTAATGAGCTGAAGTAATCAAAAACCAAATTTGTTTTGCCAGTAACAAAGGGAAGGTTTGCTGAATTTCACTTATGAAGAACCAATTGCATTAGAGAAAAATTATATGAATCACGTCATCTTTGCCATGCACCTATGCTATATAAACTGTTGTATTCTTTTTGTCGGAGGGATTCTTTTTGATTGGTATAAGGTCCACTCGGCTGTGATTAAAGCATATTCAAAGGCATTGTCCGGAGTCTGTCTGGTTACTGCTGTGTAGCAGGTGTAGTGGAAAATTAGAGATCCAAGTGATAGGGTTCATAGGGGGCGAGACATCGTCGGGTGGCTGTAATTCTTAGCTGAATTGTCTCTGGCCTGGTTCCCCAGTGTGGTCAGAGCTATCGCGATTAGCGGTTAGAAAAGATCATTTTTGGTGTCGGGAGACACCCGGTTTAACTTAAGTCAGGTGCGTAGGGGAATTTCTACCACAGATTGATAGATTATATTAGATAGATTATTTTCTGTGACGATAACCGCATTACTGCAGTAATGAGATGCCGACTGTGTTGAGGTCATCAATGCACTTTTTTTTTGTGTATTTTAGTTATTTATTTTTTTTGCTGGGGAAAGTTACAGGAGTGCATAAGGTGTGTGATATGAACTATAAACACAATAATCACTGTTTATCATAATTTACTATCGTCCGTCCTATGTTCAAGGGCTTCAGGAGAAGAAAAAAAACAGCTTCCTGCGCAAGGGAGAGGGACAGTCCATTAAACATATGGGGGATTTAATTTGCGTGTGTCTGATTATTATTAATTAAATGCTAGGTTTCAGTACTTGTGATCTACAGACAATGTTCAATAAAATACACACAAACACAGGCATATAAGACAAAACCATAATGTAAACAGTTGGAGTTAGATTTTAATTGCAAGAGCTTATAACGATACTTCTCTTATGTGGTATAGGCTATTATTTACAGTTGACGACATTATTCAAAAAATGGCCACGAATCTAGTGCCTAAGCCAAATATTGTTTCACCTATTTGGGCACATTTTGACTATATGCGCTACGAGCACTCCCTCGTAGCGGGGGGAGGGGGTTGCGGTGTTTAGTGGCCCCCTCAAGCACCGACGGCCCTGGGCCCAGTAGTTGTACAACAGCCGAACACTTGTACAGACTATAGCCTAGCCTTACCAAACTGCGTGATTTGTTGCTTCTTCACCGCGGTAAGAAAAAAATCCCATACCGTCACAGCCCTAATTTTATATATGTATATATTTGTAATATGAATCTATTGATTGAACATCAGTGTGTGTGTGTATATATATATATATATATAATGCAAATCTCATTATGAATATGAATTTCATTTGCAAATTTATTCAGGTAATTGTAGTGTCAAATCTCCACAGTTTTTAATCATTTTACTGCATACTTTAACAATGTCACGATTCATTTCTGTTCATGTAAGAATAGTATCTCATCAGGGGCTTAGTGAAGGTTAAATTGGCAGGAGAATTGTTTATTATGATTATTAATATTACTAACTGTACACACACACACACACACACATATATATATATATATATACTGAAGACTGGTGTCGCTGCTGCCATCAGTTTAAAAAAGCCAGCCCCCCCAAACCAAAAACTTGGAGCTATGAAGTGACCTGACCACAGTTATGCCTAAGTACACCATTTACCTTTGAAAAATCAGTGTAATATTCATCCTCGAGTGGCTTACTGCTTTTATAATACAACTTAAATAAATTAGCATCTATATATTTCACACTCCATAAGCAAGATGGCATAGAAGGGAGAAATGATGTGCACACATATTCTCACACACATCCTTTCAAGCTGCAGCTCAGGAAACCTCATTTACTATTTCCTTTGACAGAGATTTTCTGAGCGAGTGGCACGATCCATTAAAATGGCATTAGTCCCAGGGCTTTGAATTAGACCGGGTCTAAACTTCAGGGACCGGCATCATACCTGCTTCACCTCTGTGGCAGAACAAAGAGGTGGTCGGATGGGGAGGCAACGGGGATGTGCATATAAGACAAGCCCAGCCACCGCACATCAAAGGAGAGGTGAGCCTGTTTGAGCTTCTGCTGGGCTGGGCAGAAAAAAAGTCCTGCACTTCCTTTACTGTCAGCAATAAATGAGAATAGAAGAGTGCCCTGAAAGCCTAATGGTGACAAACAGAGGGGCTTTTGAGCAGAGCGAGGGTGAAGAAAGAGGAGAAGTGACTGTTTGCATATGAGCCTTTTCTAGAAGAGAACTGCCAGGAGGACCGGCAGCCAACTAATGAGTGAAGAGCAAGTACCATCATACACCATCACTTTCCACCGCACTTTACATGTTGAGTGGACACACGGGCGCACATGCCTGCACACGTAATGCAAAGGTCTCTGCAGGACACTCTCTGTTATACCCACGATCCTTCAGTCTAGAGCCCATGGAGCACCTAATATCGCACGTCCATTTCTTTGCTTTCTCACTCTATCTCTCTCCCGGTTATTTTGTCTCTTTCTCTTCCTCCCTCCATTAGACGCGTACGCAGTTTTATTGAAAGTGATCATTTAATTCCCATCTCACACATCCCTCTCTTTCTCTCTTTTGATAAAACACACTCTCAGCTTGTATGTCCTTGGGAATATCTGTTTGTATGTTGTACTCCTGTGTTCTTTAGTAATACTTTTCATTTTTATCACAAAAATCTTCCAACTACTGCTCTTCAAAGACAGTCCATTTACCTTCTTACCTTACTGAGTTCATAATTAAAGGAGTCATATATTTTATTTGTGATCATTTATTTTTTTCACAACCATTTTCCACACTAACTCTGGCACTTAGAATTAAATGGGAATTATTTTATTTATTTATTTATTTTTGCTGCTGTACTATTAAGCCTTCTGCGTATATGCCACGTGAGATTCCTTATCATACATTCTTATGCAATCTCTCTCTCTCTCCATGTCATGTGTAGCTCATTCTCAAGTCTTACACCTGACACTATCTTCTCACATATGCACTATGTATGTCTAGCTCTCTCGATAGCTTCAATAAATCACTGCTCCACATAGTCTCTTTGTTCAGATGCTCACAGTCTCGGAGGCCTATTTGCACCCTGGTGACTCCATTAGGCCTGGCAGATGGCGGAGACCTGGGCAGGATGCAGAGTGTGAGATTTCTGCGTAGCTGGCTCCTTCTTGCAGATAATGAAAGCCACATCATTTCCCAGTACACATGGTCAGAATTAGAAGACCTGAACGGAGAGAGTTATGGAGGGCCTGCAGGCAAAGCCACATCTACCATCTCAACCTGCTCCATTTCGCTTCTTGTATAACATGTTCACATGCTGAAGAACTTGTAAACACAGCCCTTCTGTGATATTCAAACATGTTCACTGCCTCTCATATCTCTTTCTTGGACACACAGTGCTGAGACCGCTGCAACAGAAGGTGTAAGCGCAGTGTGAAAGCCATATATGCAAACCGCAGAACGATTGTTTCATTCTGGGTCAGTGCAATCTAATTAGGTAACATGTTCAGCAACAGTTAAATGCTTCATGCTTTTGGAGATCTCATATTAATCTGCCTGCAGGCTGTGTGTCCTATGATAACATCTTTTGGAGGCATGGTGGTCCTGTGTAGAATAATCTGAACAATATACACACATATGTAGAATCAGTTTAATTTAACATACAACATTAGCAGGAGCTGAAAAAAAAATGTGCGATTGCTATGCTATTGAAATAAAATGGGATTTCGTGCTTTCATAATTATATTTCAGAAAAAAATCATGATTTTTCCCTCAAGATGAAGGCAGATGAAAGATGAATACTTTCATGATTACAAAGAAAACACTGATTTTATTATTTCTGGATTACTTTAAAAATTAACACTGCAATATTTTATTGGAAAATCTATTACATTCTAACAATAAACTATAGCAGATGCTTCGGGGTGGATATTATATATTATATT